TTCTAGAAGCAATGGTTCCTGTAGCTTGCAAAAGATACTGAGATTGACATGATCTTGGCTCCTTAATTACTTCAGAGTGGGATTTTCTACTCCTAATGCTTAAGTGCATGTCAATACCAAGACAGATTGCAATATGCATATTACTATGCCAAGAAATCACTTTAAAATTATTCAATGTAATCTGTTAATAATTGAGTAACTTCTGGTAAAGAATTATTAAAACAACATGAATTCATCACTCTGAAAAAATAGTTAATAAAAAAACAAAGGTATATAAAGTCCCAAGATCTAAGCAACCTCACACTGAGAAATAACTGATCTTCTGGATTCTAAGATAACTATCTTAAAACGTTTGTATTTTAAAAAATACTGGACTGCTTTCTAAATCACGTTCCTTTCATCCACAATGCTTATTTTGTTTTCCTTTTGAGAATCTTTGGTTTTAATCCACCCTGTTGTAGGGTTCTCCTTTCCTAGCAAAAATTATATGCTAATATTTAATACACATTAAAACTGATGTGCATCAGTGTTCCAGACAGAATTAAACTGGAGATATATTTGCTACAGGAGTATGAAAAAGCAGGAGGAGGAGAGTGCAGAAATAAAAGAGTTGCTATGCCAACCTACAAATGTTAATGGCATGACAAATACAAAAAGGTCACAGTAAAAGAAAAAAAGAAAAAAAAAAAAAAAAGGAAAGAAAGAAAGAAAGAAAAGCCCAGATTAAAAAGTATGTGCATTTTATTTGATAAACAATGCAGCTACTGTATTTACATTCCTTCAAAACAATGCAGTTTAGAAAGAAAAAAAATGCAGCAGAGTAGCACACTGAAAATCAGGTTGTCTTTGTCCTTCTTTTGATTCAGCTTTTTAATGCCTTATTCTTTATCATCCATATCATAAAGATGGTGTTTTAAAAGTGAATGCTGAGTGGATTTGTCTGCAAGTAGATCACCTGATGATTAGGTCCAACGCTTCAACACGGAGTAACAAGCAAGTATAATAAAGAAAACAAGTTAAAAAGTGCATTAGGATTAGTTCTACATTAATTAGATCATGCAACAAAAGATATTTTTGTCTTTTTGAGATAGAATTCTGCAACAAACTCAAATACATGTCTTCTACCTAAAATGTTAAAAAGGTAAATATGAATTTTTAGGAAATGTTTTAGGAGGACTTTTGGCTGATTTTCAAATATCTGGGTCTGCTTGATTTAAACAACAAAAAAAAAATCCCAACTGTTCTGAATGTTCTTTCTATAGTCTTCTAAGGTTTGTTATGTCAGATACTAGTAATGTCTCCTATACTCTTAAATATAACAGGAGATGCATGCAGTACAGTCTTTTACATCAAACTCCTGCAACAGAGACTGTTTATGACAGAATTCAAACCCACCCAAAATGCAGAATGGGTTTTCTTTCTCACTTGAAATATGGTTCCAATCTGGTTGAAATACCAACCATTTTATATTACTAATTTCTTTGTCTTTCGAGTACGCCAAAGGACAGTACTAACAGCATGCCAATGACTTTTCCTGGGTCAAACTCACATCTTCACCAGGGCAAAGGCAACAGCACTGGGATGTAGATGGACTACCTGTGGACATCAGAGAATACTCAGAAAGCCCATGGGAGAAGAGAGTAGGGCTGGGCCACAGCATACACTGAAAGCTTGAAATATATACATTGTCCTGACCTATTTATCATCAACTTTTTGAGTAAGAGGCAGAATATAAAAATCACAAAAATTTTACAGTATAACCTGATTTTTCTAGCATAGAATTGCAGATCCAGGATAAAGTTTTGCATAAGCTTTGGCTGAGCATTCACAGAGAAATGAGTTGCTCAACCTTTTGAAGTTCACCCATTGCTAATTAAGAACTGCCAAGGCTTTACTAACAATTAAAAACTTGTCTTTAAAATCCCCAAAGAGGGAAATGCAAACAGCTGTTTTAATTAGCAAAACAGCAGATACTAATTAGCTTCTGTAACAGAGTATGCTGGTCCTTTAAGGACAGGACCAGTTTCAGCCCAAGTTTGTTACCCATTTAAACTACAAGTAGGACTGCAGTCAGATGCTGCAGAAAAAGCTTCTAATTCCTTGTGAAAGCAATATTCTCCAACTTTAAGTACACAAAAATGAGATTTTTTTTTTTTTCAAGTAAGCTTTTACGCTTATTTGTATTCCAGTTTTTGATCTTTCTGGAAATGAGACATACACACATGAGCAGGGACTAAGGGTTATTTGAAATGTCTTGTCTTGTGATGATCCCATGAAGATGATAACTGTGATACCTTCATGTTCTGGGCAAACGGCCACTGTATCTGGACAGAGTAATATGTGCATATCTGCACAGCAAACCCATGGAGTTCTGGCTGCACCAACCCTGCTGTGAAAGCACTAGTCATTTGGGCAGCTGATGTAGAGTTGCTCCAACACTTTCCATCCTCCTAACCTGTCAGGGCCAGTTCTGAAGAACTAAGAAAAATTCAGATGAAGGAGAAGGGAGGGGACAGAAGATAAGAGGCTGGATTTACAGCTCTGCTGTGTTCAGAGCACAGATCCTTGGAATTGGCAGATGTGCTCTTACAAGATAATCAATATGCATAGTAGCATTTCCAACAATCAGTTTTGAGGTTAAAAAAAATATAAGCCTCATCCCGTAAGAGCTATGCTGCCTATAACTACATCTACAGCTAGTCATTTTGGTATTAGTGGGGTCAGTTGCCATAGACATGATATCAATAATCAGGATATTGCTGCAAGTAGAAGCTACAACATAAATGCTGAAAGAGAAATGTAATGCAAGAGTTTAAAAGTCACTTTCTTTGTACTCTCTACACAGAGTGAAAGAATAAATGAGAATATAGGTATGAAATTCTGATCCCGTAAATAACTACAAAACTATTATATCAAATAATTTTGATAGTTATATGTTTTGAAATCACCAGGCAGCGGTCAAATCTTTCTTCCAAACATCTGGAAGACACTTGTCCTTCAGGAATTGTGTCTGGAAAATCTAAAACTGTTGTGCTGCTATCCCAACACTGTAGGACAGTACAGGGCAATAGCTGTAACTGGAGGATGACAACTGCTGCTCTTTTACCATCCTGTGCGCTCTACACTTTCTACATTCAATGAAGACAGTTACGAAGGACAGGCAGGGAGTAAGCAACACCCTTTATAAATCAATTTGGGATTCTGATTAATGAATGGAATTTTAAATAAAACCAGAAACATTTATTTGTAAACATAAGGACTACGATAACAAACCACTTTCATAAAGTATAGAGATATCTATCACTGTGCCCCTGTACAAGCAAGACTGTTAAACTTATTTCTCTGAAATCTCAAGCAATATCACAGGGTTCAGCTAACCATGAATAAAGCTAACTCCCAGGAATTCGTATTTCTATTTGTCTTTATGCTTTTCATTACATATTTTAACATCTCAGCTCCGCCTGCTAAATGGTTTCTGAATATTTTTCTGTCTTTTATAGTATTTCAACATCTGTTTTTCAAAACTGTATGAGAACATCATATTCTTTTTCCTTTTGACATGACTACTTTGAAGTGGTAAAGGAAAAAAAAATATCCACAAACACTATGCTATAAGAGGCTCTTTAGGGCAAAATACCAACTTCATAGAAGTTGAGTGAAGTTAAATAAGACCAGGATATATCCTTAACCGCATGCACAGTCTACTCTTGATGTTTACTGCTTTCTTTTCAAATTAATATACCTTTGCCTACTGATTAAACTATTAGAAAGACACAGTGTTTTTTTCCAGCATGATGGGAGAATATGTCACAGTAGAACTATAGTTTCTATAATTTAACTTATTCTGTGTATTAAGATATATAATGTGTATTCAGATTCAGGATTTGCTAACTGTTTTTTTAGTGATAACATATACAAAGCTCAAATGTTTCCACTGTTGCTGTGCTTTGTTTTTCCTAGCTTAAAATGCAAATGAGACATTTGGTTGAAACACTCCTTGTTTCTCCAGGGAGTAGAAGATGTGGCACTGTTCAAGCATTGTTCCTTTTGGGCCCCACCCTGATCATGCAGAGGGTTCAGATGGGTTCAGTGAAATAATAAAGACATTTCTGGACAGGGATCCTCTCTGAAAATGCTTTTTAATGACATTTTAGCTGCTGAGGTGACCAGGCTTAACTGGCCTTAGGACAGACTAGGATCTTTTCTTTTACAAGAACACTACTACTGTTCTCATATCACAGAAACAAGTGTACAAGTTTTTACTTCTAAATGAACTTATATTGATTAAAGCTATTTGCTTTTCTATTCCATGAGTAGAATACTACCTCTTAAAACTCCAAGATGAAGTAAAGCTGCTTAAATAGAGTCATATTAAAAATCTCATTATTAAGAACAAATTGATTCTGACAAAATCAATCACTGCTGAGAAGCACCTAACAATTCTAAATCCACCTCAGTTCTTGGAGCTTGAACTTTAACTGCCAGAGAGGTTAAAATAAAGGAGGTATATCAAATTATATCTTTTTTAGATAAGTCAATATTTCAATTTGGAAAAAAAAATAACAGATAAATATGATCTAAAAATGTTGTCTGAACACACAGTAAGAATATTAGAAATCATCAGTACAAGGCTATAGTAAGAGATCATTGAGTTACACCTTATTAAATAAAAATGTGAATAGAGGCCTAAAGCTGAGGTCCCTCCTAGTCCTATTTTTTTTTATTCTAGGACTTCCAAGTTGCATGTGTGTAAGCTTTTCCAAACTCCAAGTCAAGATGTTTTTTACTTACCTTAAGTAAATGTGTACTGCTTATACACATACCTCCAGTAACTACTACTTCCATACGGAGGCATCTTGCCTAACTCAATAACTTCCACTCATTAAGTTTGCAACTGCTACAAATTTTTCCTGCTGTGCACTGGTTTGCATTCCTCACAGAGAATACAAACTATGAAAAAAAAAACCAAAAACAATGCTAACAGAAGAAATCTTACTTACGAGTACTTTGTCAGCAGATCCAAATCATTATGCATATTGATTGGATATGTTTCACTGAGATGAAACAGCTTCTCTAAGGCCTCATAAATGAAAATGATGCAGATAAGAGAAGCAAAAGCTTCTTCAGTAAAGCGGGTAATGTAGCAGACTAGGGAGCTTGCATCAGTTGCAACAAGGATGATGCACAGGATTGCAGTCCACAGTCCAATGCTAGCTCTCAGAGAGAGGTATGACAACCCATATTCCCTAAAAAAAAAGAAAAAAAATGAAACACAGTTAACCTTTTTTCCAGCCATAGTAAATGGAGAAGAGGCAACTCCAAAATTTTCTTTTCCTAGGGATGTGCAACACTGGAGACAGACTGAATCTGAATTTACCTATTGTGAACTGAAAATACTGTCAGGTTACCTCCTGGCCTGAGCTCTCCTCCCAATTAACAGGACACAAAAAACTCTATCTCTACTAGAGTGAGAAAGCTGCTTTGAGAGTAGTTAAACACATGAAGTGTATAATGTCCACCTACTTTTTATCCCATATCATGTCTTATGAACAACCAATACCAACCAATTTCTTCTTAAACTGCAAGAGTAGCTACAACAGCAACTTTCATCAAAATTCTGTATGCTTACTGCAGATGATAATATTGCTCTAAGCATGTTGAGTGACATTTATCACAGAAAACTAAAAGGTCTACCTGAAGGTGATAAAAGAGCTTTTGGGGTGCTAAGCAGGATCTCCTACTCTATGTTGCTCAGGACGTTTAAGAGATCTTGGTGCAGAAGTCCTCATCACAGCAACAAGGCAGAAAAGCAGAGAGGATGGCAGAGAAGCATGATGGTTGCCAAGATGCAGACATAAGTTTTGCCCACACTGTGGCAGAGGTATGTCATGTATATCACATTAATATAAACATGGGGATAAGCTGTTCTGGCATGACGCTTCACCGCTTCTTTGTTGGGGTGGTGGAAGGGCAGGGTCTATATTAGTGACTGGTGAAAGATGGCACCACTTCCACTCCTCTTACTTACTGGGTGAGAGGTAACACCTTTTGGATGAGTTAGGGATGAGATACACCACAGATTTAAATGTATTGTTTCAGAGTAGAAAATGATATAATAATACAAACTAACAACACACACACAAAAAAAAAAAAATCAAACCCACAACATCCTGAAGCTTGCATTCCCTTTAAAACAGTTGTGGTTTTTTAAAAAAAAAAAAAAAAAAAAAAAAAAAAAAAAACCAAACAACAACAAAAAAAAAGCCATCAATCTTTCTGCATTACCACCAATTCACTTTTCTCAGTCACTGCATAATTTTCAGACTCTGGAAGCCTAAGCAGTGCACTCCAAAACAAACTCTTGATCTTATTTTGCAGATGTTGGAACTTTGGGATCAGTGTCTCTGCTTTTACCTAACAACACCCGAGGGATGCTGCGTATCATGATCTTCACTTACTTGCAAAATTTGAATAAGATCTTCTCAAACACTAAAACTGGTCCTGTGCTGCCAAGTATAGTGAGAGGCTGGCCACCAAAGAGAGAGTAGGCAATTCCAGTCATGGATGCTCCAAACAGCGATTCTATTGCACTCTGAATATGATACAAAGAGAAGTGTCCATAAATTTTCAAACAGGTTCTTTTTGCAATGTCTCAGTCTGTAGCCTTCTAAACACTGAAATACCAATATTTAAAGGTCATTCATGCAACAGTAAGAAAATACTAACCACAAATCTAGGAATGTAAGTTCATTTTAAAAGTTCAGATTTAACACATACTATACGACCTTCAGTTGCTTCTCCCAGCAGACCACCAAATGTGATGACAGGAGACATGCAAGCACAGTAGAGAAACAAAAATGATGCCAGACACTGCAGACTGAGAGCATCCCTGAAGTCACTCCAGAAGAAGGGAGCTTTTCTTTTTATATCTAAAATCAATCCTCCAAAAAATCTAAAAAAAAAAAAAAAAAAAAAAAAAAAAAAGATCGAATTAATGAAAAAGGCAGATAAAACTTTCTTCCACAATATTGATTGAAATATACTGCAGAGAAGTTACTGTTCATTGATCAAATGATACATACTCTTATAATTCATCATTCCCAGAAAAAAACTTTCTGGGAACCTCGTCTTGATAACTTTAATCGGAAAATTATGTTTTTAAAACAAACTAATTTGCATATTTCTTTTATAAATCTTCATCTAATCATCCAGACCCAAAACTTCTGAACAGTTGTTAACTCCCACACACAAAACCCTATTATTTATGATGTGAAATACTTCTTTGCATTTGTTTAATCAGAGCGCTACCACAGTGCCCATTTGCCCACACATCTACATACAGAGCTTCACATTCTTTATTTGAGAACCTGTTCCTAAATACACTTGATGATAGAATTGAATGTAGGCCACAATTTTCCAAGGATAAGAACTGTCATTTTTTGTCATTTACACTATGCTAAACATAATCAAATATTTAGGAACAGATGCTCCCTTACAGTATACCATACAGTTAAAGTAAATATCCCCACAATGCTCTTTTTCTCACAGGCACCTGATGTATCAGATGTTGCTGGAGTAAAGAGGAAGACAAAGTGCCACCATGTCCTAAATATCAGAATGATCCTTCGAGCCATCAATTACCAGGTTCACCAGTGAAAGAACAGCTCACAGCCGGACTGGCCACCATCTCCACTGTCCCACCGTGTACACCAGCAGTGCAGCTGACTCTTTAGCCTTATGCAGGCAGGAATGATATTTCAATATCACAAGGCAGCCGGGTAAAAGAAAAGTCTATCGCACAACACATTGCACTAAGGCAACCACTGACAGCTGACTTACTCTACACCATATTAGATGAGAGAACATAATTACTCCTTGGGACAAATTCTTCCTTCTGATGTGTGTATATTGCAGCCACCATGGTAATCATAGCCTCATGTACCAGGACATATCATGGCTTACCAAGGTAAAAAAGAAATGCTAGAGCTGTACAATCCAGAAGCTTCAATTACAAAATAGTTGTTAGCATTCACAATATATGGTACAAGACTATTCCCAACTTTTCCTTCCTGCTGTACAAAAATAAGAAACATTAATGAAGTTTAACAGAGGTCTGACCTTTATAAATAATAAAGGAGCCTGTAATAAATACAATGTGAAAACTGGAATCCTCTTGCCCTCTCCCCCTCTCTGCAAATTACATGTATTGTCCTTTTCAACTATGTGGTATGCAAATCAGGAAAAATGCCTGAAAAAAATAATATGCCAAGCCAGTCATCTGAGAGAGAACCAGACCATTATGATTCCTTTGGAAATGTATCACTTAGAACATAACTTAGAACTTAGTTTTCACTAACTTTCCAGTGCGTTGCAGTTCTGGTCCAGAGTGTCCTCCAGGTTGCTCTGTGTCCCCGTGTGCTGCGGTTCCATTTGGCACTCCTGGGATCTTACGCTTCTCCTACCAAAAGGAAAAGATACTTCTCATGGGTCTTAGCAACAAAAACATAATTTTAGCAGAGGAAAGAGGATTTGAGAGCTGAAAGACTAAATATAAATTTTATTGTAAGATTCAGCAACATAACCTCTTCACAAACAGTAGAGGAGTTCTATAACAGGAAACAGTAGAAGGAATTGTAGTCTAAGAAATTTTAAAAACTGATCACAGAAAACCTTGTATCAGAAAACATTTTAAAGAGTAGAAAGCTAGGCTGCTTTGATCAGTTCTTGCAATAAGCTTAGAACAAAAGCAGACTGTGGCTGTTCAGAATAATCAAAGATGCTTATGACCAATTACCCCTGAATTTAAGATCTTTAGATAAAATTATATGTCTTTATTCAGGAGAGAACTAGTATTGAACTACACAAAATGTCATCATTATACTGTATGATTGCAAGACATGGGTTCTCTTAAAGCAAATTAACCAAAAAAAAAAAAAAAAAAAAAAAAGAACATGCAAAATTTCTATAAAGTACCTCTGCTAAATGCTAAATCAATGAGACTTAAATCTACCTAACAAAAATTCATCACAATGTTTAAAAGTGTCTGAATTTTACCGTGTACAAACCTGAGATGGAACATTTTTAGGTGGTTCTATTCGAATTGTTGGGTCCCACTCTCCAGGAGGGAGAACAGTAACCTGATCAAGAAACTCATCAATTCCAGACACCAAGTCATTGCGGTCTTTTGCTTTGTAAGCAACATCATGGAACACCTATGGAAAAGGGAAAGGAATACTCTCGTAACATTTTTCATGACAATCCCTTTTCTCTGAAATAGAACGCACTTCATGCAGTTCCCACAAAACAAACAATCTCAGCTTCAGCTGACTAGAGTTTCTGGTACATAGTTTTTATAGAAGCTGCAGCTGCTATGGAAAAACATCCTTAGGGGTGCTAAATGTTCTAGAGATTTTACAGTTTAAAATACAATTAATTCCACTGGAAAGTAACTGTGTAAAATGGAATCTTCTCAGTAAAGATATACTTGTTTGTGAATATTGTTTCTCATTTTGTTATCTCCTTAGAGCATCATAATCTGGGCTATTAAAGGATAATGAAACAAACTAGAATGGTATTTGTGCATCATCAGAATGGTTAGCCCCATTTCATCTGGACAATTCCACAATGGAGATTCCCTATTACACCTCTTCAGTCAGTACAAAATGACTAAAACTAAGCCATGAATAAAAATACCTCATCTGTCATTAGTGTTGCAATTGATCTTCCAATCTCATGGTATTGTTGCCCTTTACCCAGTGGTCCAAGAAGAATAAACAAAAATCTGCAAATAAAAGATAAACTAAAAGACTGTAAAGGATAGATGGTTGAAAGTAACTATACATACTACAGAAATACTTATTTAAAAATTGGACTAGAAGAACCTCTAAAACAGATATTATATATAATCTCCTTCAAGATCCTCATATATGCATTTAAACATGAAGCTCTGGTTAGAAAAAAAAATGTGAAAATAACTTCCAAAAATATATCATAAGCTTCACAGTCAGATTTGATTGAGACTATCAAAACCTCCTTACATAACAAACTTTATCTTACATAATAAATATATGCAATTATAATCTATGTACAGAACACATTAGCATTACTTTATTTCATTTTATGGCAGTAGTATTATTGCAGTATGGGGAAGTTAAATTACGCCAAATAAAATAATTTTTAAATCATTCTTACTCCCATTAAGGCTCTAGACAGCCTTTACTCTAGGCTTGGGGCTAGTAAGGCTCTATAAAATGCAGAGCATAGGTTCAAGTGAAATAATTGAAGTTCTCAGTTTTGCTAAAATGCAAAAGAATTTTTTGACTAACGTTATTAGATTTTTATTTAAATAAACATTTTTACAGATATTCTTAATTTTCTTTTGGCCAAAAATAAAAAAATCTGTTGGTTTCTTTTGTTCATTTTTGGGGTGGAGATTATGAGGAAAGGCTTCAGAAGTTTTTTTTTCAAAGCCAGCTCAGTCCCTCAATGTTCCTTATATGCACACAAAAAATCAAAAAAGACAAAAGAAAAAAGTCATATCTGCAGTACCTACAAAGTAACTATAACTTAAAATTTGATACTGTTTATCTGACTAGGAGCAAGGAGCTGAGTCTCAGCATTGCATTTCATAGCATAGCATTCCTTCCTAAGTGTCACAAACAACTGGAATACATTACTGACTCCTGTCTGAACTCTACTTTTATAAACTAAAAGAGGGAAGGGAAAGAGGGACAGAATATGTGTACAGACATGTCTACAAATACAAAAAAAAAAGGTGAGGAACTGCAATAATGGTTAAATCAGTCAACTCAGATATGGGAAAATCACTTTGGAGTTTTGATCTGAATCAATCCCAGCAGGAAACAACATATCTGCAGATCTATTTAAATGCTTTCTATTTGACTGGAAAGTCTCCCTTAGACATTTTTTTATAAATTCCTAATAATTTGTTCTCAGAACCTAAGTACGTCTTCAGAAAAAGTTTCAAGTTAGAAAAAACTAATCTAATAAAAATATATGGTAAAAAGTCACATTCACTACCACACAAGTAGCTACAAAGTAACTGTTAGAGGAACATGATATTTATGGTACGTTCTTCATCCATTCACTATCCCTAGTCAATCAAATCACACAGTTGGTTTTTTCCTTTTACTTAATTCCTCCTTCATTTTTTTTCTTCTGGACATAATTATGCAGTAGTTTCAGTTCCAGATGAAATATTCTAAGCTGAGTATTACACCTTAGTATTTCATCTGCAGTATTACCAGTTTGTACAGGATAAACTGTGAGCTGTAATCTAACCAGCTATCATTTCTACTTCTGCTAAGAAGGATTATCTGCACACAGAAATGGCATGTTTCTGAATATACCTATACACCATTTAAAGGATGACTGGAATGATTTCTCTAAGAGATGTCTTTGTTAAAGAAAGAACAAAATTCATGACTCAGTAAATGACAAAGTTGAAGGTCACACCACCCTGTCTCCACAAGGTACTCAAAAAACATGAAAAGAAATAAATCCAACTGTACCTTGTTGGAATTGGAACTTCCGCTAGCCCCGTAAGTAGCACTGCAGGAGATAACCTAACAAAAGCAACAACCGCACGGTCCAGGAACTCTAGTTCACCAACTAAGATGTTTGATGCTTCAGCTCCAGGTGGTATCTTTTTCATGAAGTGTAGGTCAACCTGGGAGAAGTATATTAAATAACAACATAAAAGCTATTCATATGTATATCTTTTCCCCTCTGACTTGTTGATAGAGACTTTCTGGTCACTGTATTACAACCTTAGTTATTTCAATTATACAGTTTCTACTATTCTTGATTGTTGAATAATTTTTTTGAAAGAAAAATATTTCTCAAAACCAAACAACTGCTCTTTCCTTATTTGACTAATTTTTCTTGGAAACATAGTTATAGTACTGCAGAATTAATTTATAAAAAAAAAAAAAAAATTCAAAAATCTACTTAAGAATATAGTATTAATATCCTAGTAATAATTTGCATCAATAATCATCAAATTGCATCAATAATTCATAATGGAATCTGTAAGTTATAACAGTAGAAGAAATGAAGACACCTTATTTTTTCATAATTAACAATTCTGGAACTCATGAATTCATAGTTTGCAGTTGCTGTAAGTTATAACAGTAGAAGAAATGAAGACACCTTATTTTTTCATAATTAACAATTCTGGAACTCATGAATTCATAGTTTGCAGTTGCTGTATCATAATCTCAGTGAGAGAAGAGGTTCCATTATGTAATTTTCCTTCTACTGCTCTAAGTGAGATGTATTTTTGCTTTCAGATTTAATGGAAGACAGTTGCCCTTCTGCTGAAAATAACAGAAAATAAGCTATGACCATGATTGCCTCAAGAGTAAATGGAAAGAACAAAGCAGAATAAAAACTCTGGAGTTTTAAGGCAGTGATGTTGACTTTTTGGGGGGCAGTAGGAAAAGACAGAGAGCCAGCTGCATCATGATGTTGCTATATGAGATCAAGGTATTTGCCTAGGAATGTTTTAACTTGTATTTATTTCCTCAGTATCAGTCTAGAGTTCACTTTGTAACAAAGATCGACATGTAGTAATAGCGTATATAATGTATGTTTGATTTCATTATGCACCAGTATTGTCTACATTTCAAAATGCATGAATTTTGTCATTTGCTTTCCTTTTATTAATCTAAACACAACAACAGCAATCAAATCCAATATAAACTGTTAAAGTGGACCATTTTAATGTCTATCTTACAGCCATCTGTCAGTACTAGTTTGCATAGTTTTTGGTAATATTTAGAAAATTGTTTTCTTGCAAATGGCTCTGGCACTAAATCAGAATTCAGATATAACACAGTTGCCTGTGCAATGAAATCTTATTCTGTTGAGATCACAAAGAGCTGCCTGATGCTATCCTAAACTAATCTAGAATGATGAACAAATACCTCACAAAGTTAAACAAGCATCAAATCAACCTGGAAGGTTGGAGACCAAGTACTTTTTCAAGGTAAAGTATCAGTGAGGTAAATTCTATTCCCCACTCAAATCATAAAATAACTCTTCAGGTTTAAATACTAAACCCAAACAGATTCACTTTGCACCTAATTTTGGTGCCGTAGGACATTTATAGTTGAGAGCAAGGAAACAGTCCTTCAGGCACATGCAATGTGCATGCTGTACCAATTTTACCTTGTGAATGGATTTAACATTTAATAACTAATGTCTCATGTACAACATGCTACAGTTGTCACCTCATGGTCCCACTAACATACAGATCACAGGATCAAGATTCAAATCTGAAAGAAACATTCAGTCTTATGTCTACCAGAAAGTATTTCCAGATACGTTTCCTGTGCTATTTATCAGCTTGAGGTTCCACAATCTTTTAGGTAGTGAACAGAGACCCAGCTAAAAGGAAAGTAGCTCGCAGAGAAGCATCAAACTGGGCAAATACACCCAAACCGTAGGTGTTGTTTCTGCTACATAACAAGAGTGGAGGTGGCCCTAGAGTGAATCTGGGGCAATGGCAGAAGCTACATCTTTCAAATGCTTCATCTAACCTATCCATTATATATCTCTTATCCCAAGAGGTCTTTAGCTGGAAAGACCTCATGTGCATCTTAGTCTGCACTCTAACCTGTGCAACATTCATGACCTAGTACTAAATAATACCAGTAAACTCCAATGAAACATAAAGCTAAATAATTTAACATAGAGGGCATTTCCTGCAGGGCAACCCATGGACTGAAAAGTGGTGGTGGCCTCCCCCAGAACCAAACATAAATCGAAAGGAAGACAAACAGAAAATACCCAAAATCACTTCTTAGGAAAGTCATTAAACATAGCAATCAAATTCACTTATAAGAAGGACCAACCAGTCTTCAAAACCAAGTAATTGAAAGACCAAACTCTGTCAGTATGGGACTATGGTTTGATTCAGAAATGCTGTTTCCATGTGGAGCATAGGAACATTGCCATGGTAATGGATGTGGGTGCAGACTCTTTATGCATTTCATCTTTCAGGGCAACTAGGGTTCTCTTCAGCCTCTGGCATAAGAAGCAGAGACCAGCCAGATGCAGTTGTTAAACTGCCATCCCCATCCTGCACAGACACAGGATAAAGTGGTGCTGTGACAGATCACCTCCGTATCATCCCCAGAATACAAAGTCCTCACGGTGTTCCCAGAGGAAGAGGAGGAATGACACATTTAAAGTACAAACATCAGAAACTCTGCCTGCCTCTCTGTGCTTCCTGAAGTAACATTCAAGACAGCTTTTAGTGCCATGTCTCACATTATTCATAAATAGATACCAATACAATCAACACAGTTTCAGTGCTGTATTCAGATTAAGTCAGCTTTTTGAATCAATTCCAAAATTTGGAATATTAGAAGTAGCCCAAGGGAGGGAGATTAGCAAGGAGAGAATATGTGAGGTAGTCAAAGGTGCTTTTTTGTAGAAGATAAATGAAATTAATATGTGGAACAAAATTAGAGCAAGAAATCACAATACTCAAGAGAAAATTAGTATACTGCTCTACTTTCCTCTCAATCTGTGCATATAATTCCAATTATAACCGTTGGGAGTTATTGAAATGGCACATTTCAAGGGGAAACTGTACTTTACTTATGCATCTTCAAGAGGATAAATGGATCTATTTAAAAGCAGTCAAAAATGGTATTTAGATTACAATCCTTTACTGTTACTTCATTCCTGCAAACAGAAGTTGTTCCTTTCATATTTCTGACATCCTTGTTGGTATCTAACAGTGCTGAGGCTAGCCAAAGGATGACATGTTGATCTCTTCTCAGGCTGGATTAAATAGGAAGAGCTCTTTTGATCAGAAAAGCTGCAGCACTACAAAAATAGTGAGTGAAAGATCAAGTGATCCAGCCTCCATTCTTGTTTAATACAAACACCATGCAGCCAGATAATGGACTGGGATTTTGATCCGACAACATTCAAAAGCAACTGGGGAAAGGTGTAAGAAAAGCCCTACTCAAAGTCATGTCATTCCCTTTGGGTTGTTACAAGCTTTACCTCTGCACAGCTTAATTTTGAATAGACAGCTCTATTTATATTTGATATCCTTCACAAAATTTCACATCTTGATATTAGAACACTTGCCAAAATCATACTTGACTTTTAAAAGCATTATAATCTTAGTTTTAAATATTTTTAAAGTATTATCATTAAATTTTTAACAATTGTCACTGTTTATAGATCTCCTTGCTACATCTGTAGAAAAGTGGTCCATACTACATCTCCAGCCAGCCTCCTTTCTTCTCACTGTCTTTGACAAAAAGATCTGTTTCACATCTTTATTTCAGCCATATACCATTCCTAGTTTGGCATGTTCAGTCAAGAATTCAAATAATGCTGCTAGGAAATAAGTCTGGCACCAGATGGAGCAATCACATAACTCTACTTTTAGCTCAGTTTGCACTAACATTAAGATTCAACAGACTCAGAGTGCTGTTCTTCAGAATTTTGGTTTAAATCACCTTTCTTCACTTACTCAACCTTTGTTGTATTAATGTGTCAGCTGAAGTCATCTATCCCTGTCAGGTCTGTCATCTGTATCTAATGTGACAGTTTGTTTTAGGTACATACAGATTTCTTAAACAAATTAGGATTCTCCTTTACATTAAAGCTGAGAAGCTGTTTGCTTTTCTTTGCTATCTAACATTGAACTGTCATTGCAATCTCCACTACTGAGCAGTTAACATCTTTTGTGAAGTGTACTGAAATATCTTGGCTTGCCAGAAGAATTAAGTTATAGGTTTACAGAAACACATTCTGTTTGAGACATCTGGAATCCACGAGTTCAGGTTATAAAAAGCATAGATTGCATTCATGCATTACTTCAACAAAAAGTAAAAATCTGAGAGGTAAATCCGATTTATAAGAATTCTGAATTACTTTCTTACTTTTATAATTTTCTGTTAATGTAAAAATTCCCCCTCCAAATATACACCTATGATATTATCATGCAATAAATGTATCTGTGTTCCTAAACTGTGATTTCCCGTTACCAGTATTTAACAATAAAATGAAAAATTCTTTTTTCTTATATACAAAATGTGTTGCAGCGCACATGAAATATTAATGCTGAAGTAAAATTTGCACTTCACAGTTTTTCCTGATTCACGTGGACTCATTTTATCTAATTTAAACGATCTATTTGGTAGTCAGGAAGCTCTCTTCAGTGTCAGTGAACTCTTACCTTGCTAAAGTCAACAGTGCTGTTTTCTCTGCTCACATCATTTTTGTTTTCAATACAGGCTGGAGCAGACTGTGGAGAAACAATCTGACCTGCTAAAAAAAGTACTGTTATTACAAAATATTAACAATTACTTCTATAAATAAAGCAACATCTAATGAAATAGTTGTTAAAGAACTACATAGATTTCATATCAAATGTATATGAAGCATCTAAACACGGCATTTTAATTAAAGACTTATTTAGAATAACACATTTTTGAAAGACAGAACATTTATCACGTGCAGTTAGGAATGGAAGAACATAATTTAGAAAATGTAAAACATACTCTTGATTATTGGAAGACAAACTTTCTATGCCAATTAAAGCTTATGATTTTTAAGATATTACATTTGAGGAAAATCCTGTACTCACATAGTTTTCGTAAGTAATCTGAGGAGGTGCCAATTTGGGGCAATATCTGCCTACAAGAATACTCCTCAATGAATAAACCAGGATTACTAATTTTCATAAATTTACTCGTGTGTGTAAGAATGTCCTGACTATAACAACAACTACAAAAAACAGCATAAAAGTGGGCTGCTATAAAAATAGATGTAATGGAAATTAAGATTATTTTAAAACTCAGCATCAAACAATGTGATTACTGACGTGTAAAATAAATGTTTCAGCAAACACATTTTCAAAAAATTCCAATGAGGATCTAATAAAGTATTTTATGGAACTTTTTCAAATATTTCAAGATGAGAAGAAATGTTTAAACACGCCTCAGTCTTGTAAGTCAGTAAAGCCTTGTGACCAATAAGATTTTGCCAACGAAAGCTCATAAACAGGGTTAAGTAACAAGTCACATAAAGCATATTTTTACTTCATGCCAACATGGCCCCTGTGCACAGCCAGAGGCCACCACACACACACTGAGGGTGTGAGGCTGGCAGCACACGACCCCCACAGCGTGATGGGCCATTCCCTGCTTGCCTTCACTCTTCCTCGCTCCCTGGCATGGCAGGAGCCACGCACAGCTCTGAACACTACAACAAAGTACAGGAAAAAGTACCAAATATACGAGCCAACTATCTCTTACTGCCCTAACACATACCCAGGAATAACTACAGAGTCCAACTGGCCCAGAGTCAGCATCTCGTGCCCAGCATATATTTGTTTCCATAGCAAATAAAGTCTCTCATATGACTGAGAAATGATGATGTGAAAACATTGATTCTGGCGAAAATCAACCTAAACTTGCACAGTAACAAAGACCATATGTTCACGATACTTGAAAATGAAGACAGTCAGAAAGTCCTAAGCTAGGCACAATGTCTGGGCAATTCAAAAAGCCACGGTGTGTCCCCTCACATCGCTGTTACATAAGCTCGCAGTCGAAGCATGTCCTCAGCCACAGCCAGGAAACAGAGCGCTTCGCAGGATCCAGTCTGAACAGGGCAGGAGACTTGCAAGAGTATCTCAACCTTTGCCAAAATACTGAAGTCTCCAGCTTCTGTCACAGCTGAGCAATACAGTATCCTTGCCTAAGTCTGGTCATGAATTCCCAGATGAAACACTTGCTCAAGGAAAAGGTTACTTTTCATGAAAATCAACATCTCATTTTCCACTGGGCAAATCTCCCATGACATAAAACAGTTTTTAGGCTTGTGCTGCATCCTGGTAGCATAGCCAGAGAGATTTCACTTCCATTAGGAAGTAGAAGAACTGAACGTTTTAAGATGTATCGTTAGAAATCTTATTATTAAATGTATCGAACCAAAAAATGTAAATATTCCCATTTTCTCTCTGATACAGGACAAGAACAGATCAAAACAAGAATAGAAATTAGGGCTTTTGTTCAGCACTACAGTGAAATAAACAGAGAATGGAAAAAAAAACAGACATGACAAGCATGTTAATCTGTCCAAGTAGATAAAAATAAATCATTATTAGAATCTACATATGACAAGAATAAAGGATTGATTTCAGAAAGCAACATATTAATGTAACTTAAAGGAATTCTTGTTTAAAAAGACTATTAATTCCTAAATGTCACAACAGACAACTTTTGCAAATCAGAAGCCAGAAATTATTAAACGTGCAAGATGTTTATAAACAGTCATTCAATTTGTCTGTTTTAATTAGAACTTAAAGAAAAAAACCTGAGTTCCGTCATTATTACACCACCACCTTTACACTATGTATCTTCATACACTACTTCACACTGTAATTTTTTTCTTTATTGTTTATTTAGCAGTCTTAGAATTATTTTTACAGGAATCATCCTGTAGAACTATAACTATTAAAAATAATCAATATATAAATTTGATTTTTCTATTATTTTGGAGATTTTAATAATATAACAGAAAAAACCTTCCACCAATTATAACAGAAAAGCCAGAAACTAATCAGGGAAAATTTCTCCCTTAACTTACTCATGGAAAACTTTAAATCTAGGAATATTAGACCTTCTTAACTCTAAATTTCTTCCTTTTAGACAGTACTCTGCATTCTAGGATCTATATAAAGAGAAATACTTTTAGTAATCACTCATGCTAATATATATACTATGTTATAAAGATGTTACAACAAAGCAACAGAAATAGTAGCTCATTATACTTCTGATGCTAATTAGGGATTTACATTTATACTTTTTTTTCTGGACCCAAAAATTCAAGAAAATGAGAGCAAGGATATCTGCCAGTGAGATAAAAATATTGACCAACAACAGAGTCAGAGCATGGACCAGCTGTTATAAATACGCAAGTTTTAATATTATAATTGGAGGTGTCAAAGGCCTCTAAGCAATTAGCGTAACAGTCCAAAGGCTAACTTTTAAACATTGTGTCCACTTTTCTTTTAGGAGAAAAATATGTAAAAATATACATAGTAAGAAATAAAAGCCACAACCAGTAAGTATGTGAAGTTTATAAGAATAGCATATGTTCTTCTTCTGTGCCAACAGAAGACCTCAAACTTTGATTTACCCATATGCTGGAGTAATCTGAAAGAACACAAGTTTTACCTTTAGGCAGTAAGAGATGTTTAAATAGCTATGCAACTTAAGACAGCTTTCTGGAACTTGGAACAAGAAGTTCCGGGTTTTTTACTGTATTGAATAACAAAGATACAAGGTAGAGAAGACAGGTAATTTCACTTTTCACATGATAGTTATGAGGAAAGTTTTTTTAAAAAGTATCATAAACACACTGCAAGAATGCATGTTACTTATGCAATGATACAGTCAGTAAAATGCTAATCTGGAACTTGATCTCTGTGTAGCCCTTCAACAGAAAAGTGAGCCAAAAATTACTGGATTTTTGAAAGATTTTTAGTTTGTTAAATGCCTGTAAATTCTGCACTAGACAGTGGGTAGATGCAGTGCTACACTCGCTCCCTCCCTATGCATATGGTTATTTTTATATTTGGTATCTTCATCTAATCCTGAGCTATGAAGCCACAGAAATTCATAAATTCATTTAATTTTGTGTATAATTTCATGTTGACTTAAAAAGGATGTCTTTGGGGATGATACTGTTAAGCACATGAGTAATTCCCAATGGGTACGACCAAAAACATACTGATGGCAACCTAGTGAACATCAGCATTACCATGCTACACTGGTTTTCCAACGTCATTAAAAATATTCAGTTTGCTAAAGCATGTTGGCAATTATCTCTGTGCTTAATCCTCAAGCCACTTTAAATTTCAGCAACCGATTGTTTTCTCTGAAGGACACAGTTACTACCACCATGATGGTCCCATGAAGCAACAATCAATTAAAGAGTTACGTGAATGAAGAGGGGAGCTGTTACATCCTACCTAAAATAAACAAAAAAAAAAATTTCCTCTCTGATTTCCATCAAAATGTTATCACAACTGCATCAAACTGCCTCTGGAATACAGGTACACTAAATCAATGTCTTCTCCACAATTTAACTTTATATTATGGGATTCTTCAACAAATTATGTGAAAAGGAAAAGGAACAACAAAACAAAACAAAAAAAAAAAAAACAAAACACCAAACCAACACCAAACCCTAGCCAAGCTTTAAACATCTGCTCTCAGAAAAACAACTGCGATGGTGGTTTATTACTTCTTTGAGTTGGCAACATGGAGTTTAGGTTGGTAAGAATGGTGAAGGCATAAATCATCAACTCCGTATAAGAGGGAATAAGAGCAGCAACAGGCTTGCCATTTATTCAGCTCTTCCATGCCTCGTCCGTGGCAGTTCCATTTCAGCTCTCAAGTAAAATGTCTATTTACACATTATATGGAGTAAATACAGTATTTTATTTTTGAGTGCAATGTAGTACTTTGAGTCCTTATAAATCTAAGGTTCAAAAGCCTTGATTTATCTTACAGTCCATCTACATAAAGCATCTGAAGATCTGCATTCTTTGAGAAATCATCAGAGAGCCATTCAGATTTTTTAAAATATCAGTCAAACAAATGCACAATGTGGTATCATTGAAATATCCAGCCTACATACAAAGGAATTTAATAGCTAACAGATAAAACCACACTAAAATGGGTATTCAGGTTTATCTATGTATTAAAAAGCCAGTATCAGCACAGTTTTTAAAATTATATTTTAAATTTGCATACATAAAAAATGGATGCTTTTTTCAGACATTGTGAAATTGCCAGAGCATTGAACAGAGCAAGAAATCACACAAAAAATAATCATGCAAAGCCAAGTCACTTAAAAATCAAAACCCATCAAAATAAGGTCCATATTTGTTACACTAATAGAAGTTTGCATTTGCAGACAGAGCACAGCATTTTGAGACTATTAGTCCTGCCAAACATAAAATTAAAAAAAAAAAAAATAACCCCAGTAAATTAATGTCATATGCAAGATACTCTTATTCCCTAAAATTTAAAGCTCAAGACATGTAACTGTGTATTGTATTTACTAATCAAAATCCAGGAGGCTTCTAGAATGCCAGTGACAAAACCCAACAACAATATATTTAGATAAAAATCACAATTAATAGAAATAAACTGGATGCAACTGACACATTAAAGGACAGTGAATCAGAAAATAAGGTGCTTATTTTCTAGACCATGTAGATTTCTTCCCATTCAGAAAAAGAATCTGAT